GCAGTCCCAGCACCCCCGGGACTCAAATGAACCCTGACCCTTCCTCTCAATGCCACAAAAGAGAGTTTGTTACCCCAGCCAGAGCCTTCCTTAGAGCAGTAACAGCCACAGCAAAGCTTCCATCCGAGTGCCTCCCGAGCACAAAGACCTCTCCCACCCAGAGCACATTCCTCAGCTCCTGTGTCACTCACGGCAGCGATCACCAAAATAGCTCCCGAGGGTGGGCTGTGACTACAGTGGCAGCTGGGAGGCTCAGGAATTCCAACGGCCCTTCCCAAACCTCCCAACCCAACCTCTGTGGTTAACACAGCCCTGGCTCATATCACGTTTCCTCCTCAGTGGAGCCTGTGCTACCCTGAGAAATTCTGCTGTTGTGGTTATGCTTTTCCAATATAAAAACCCTAATTCTGACCCCTTTTCCCCAGAGTGCCATMATGCCTGCCAGTCAATCCCCACTTTGTTCTTGGACCCGACTGGAGCTGCACTGGATGTGCCTCTTGCTGCTCCAGCTCCTGCTGCAGCAGTCCYGCTGTGGGATTCCTCATTCCAGCCCCACTGGGGCTATTCCTGTCAGCAAAGCCTCAGTTTCTATTCTGGGCAAGCAAAGATTTGGGCAATGCAGCAAGCCTTCCAAACTTGCAGACAGAACAGAAGTGTGCTACCCTGCATCTTCCAGGGCACCGAAAGAAATTCAATCTTAAATCCAATGAACAAGTGAAAAAAGAAGAATCAATGGCAAGAAACTGAAGAGAAATGGATTCAGAACAGAAAGTACAGGTTGCTAATTAACTAATCATGGTGACCTGGTAATGAGACATATCAAGTATTCTCCATTTCTAATAGTTCAGAAAGCAAAACTAGACTTTGATCATTTTCCTGTGATCAGACCCTCAAGGGTCTGGCTTTCATTCCTGTTCAATGCAGAAGATAAAGAGACTGTAAGGGCTCTTTGACTTTCTGTAAGGAAATCTCAGTCACAGAATCCCAAGATGGTTTGGGTGGGAAGGGACCTGAAAGCTCATATTGTTCCACCCCCTTGCTGCAGGCAGGGACATTTCCTACCAGCCCAGGCTGCTCCAAGTGCCATCAAGGTGGCCTTGGACACTTCCAGAACAGGGCACCACAGCCTCCATCCAGGTGCTGCAATGCACTGGGTGCAAGGAACTCATCAAACAAGCATTCCCATGCTGCTTCCAACGGGAATTTCCAGTCTGGCTTCTAACAGAACAGGGATCTCATCAGCCTGTGTTAAAATCTGCTCACAAAGGGACCCAGATACAACACAGATCAATCCAAGACAGACAACCACCTCCCTCCTTCTCTGGGCCATTCCTGGAGAATCCTCATGACTAATTCCACCCACAGTTTACAGTGCATTCCACCCACAGTTTACAGTGCATTCCACCCACAGTTTACAGTGCATTCCACCCACAGTTTACAGTGCATT